GATAGATGTTACGTTCATTCCTTCNTTTCATATAGAGTTGAATATTCTATAATGAAATTCGCTGAGTCGGTTGAGTTCATTTTTTGTTGAATATCTCGTAACCGAAAGCAAGTTAAAAAATTTTGGTNACGTTCATTCCTTCTTCGCAATTAGGGGAGGGGCGGGGGAGAAATGAATTTTCTAATCGGGGGAGCCCCTCCGCGCTCACTCGACGCCGGAGAACCGTTCGGGGTTGCTCCGCGCTTTTGAAAATTCATTCCTCCGCTCCTAACTGAGATTACGAAATGAAATCGATGTCATTTATTAAAAATGCAATTCTCAATCTGTAGACTTTGGTTTCATTCCTTCATCTCAATTAGGGAGGGGAGAATCAATTTTCCAATCGGGAGAGCCCCTCCGGGCTCACTCGACGTCGGAAAGCCGTTCGGGGTTTCTCCGCGCTTGTGAAAATTCANTACTCCATAGCCTTGGCGCACTACCATCAGATTGGTTCCGCAAGATAGTAATTCTACAAACCACCACCAGACGGCGAGAAATCGCTTTGCGATTGCGAATGCGACTGCGACGGCGCTATTCAAGAAAGNTCAATTTTCCAATCGGGAGAGCCCCTCCGGGCTCACTCGACGTCGGAAAGCCGTTCGGGGTTTCTNTTATATAAAGCGGCGTATTTCATATAGAGTTGAATATTCTATAATGAAATTCGCTGAGTCGGTTGAGTTCATTTTTTGTTGAATATCTCGTAACCGAAAGCAAGTTAAAAAATTTTGGTAATGAACTTTTTTAGGTCTACATTTTTTGTGTCTTACTCCATAGCCTTGGCGCACTACCATCAGATTGGTTCCGCAAGATAGTAATTCTACAAACCACCACCAGACGGCGAGAAATCGCTTTGCGATTGCGAATGCGACTGCGACGGCGCTATTCAAGAAAGTGCGCGAGAATTACAAATNACACTGTCATTTATTGAGAATATCATTCTCGATCGATAGATGTTGCGTTCATTCCCTCTTCGCAATTAGGGGAGGGGCGGGGGAGAAATGAATTTTCTAATGGGGGGAGCCCCTCTGCGCTCACTTGACGCCGGAGAACCGTTCGGGGTTGCTCCGCGCTTTTGAAAATTCATTCCTCCGCTCCTACTTGAGTAGGATAGGATAGAATTTCCCGAAGATTCCAAAAAGCTTCATTGTTCTTCGTGCATGAAAAATGGGGATCTTCGGGAAACTCCTTGCGATCGCAAGACTTTTACCGATTTATTTTTCTCCGTGNCTCCATAGCCTTGGCGCACTACCATCAGATTGGTTCCGCAAGATAGTAATTCTACAAACCACCACCAGACGGCGAGAAATCGCTTTGCGATTGCGAATGCGACTGCGACGGCGCTATTCAAGAAAGTGCGCGAGAATTACAAATTTGATTTCTTATCTTGAAAAAAGGAAACAAGCATCGTATATATACATACATTGAATACATCAGTGTATATTTTCTACACAAGGATTTGTTTACAATTACTGGAATGAAAAAATTTTTTTTTGTGACAAGTGTTCAGAGCTAATAAGATTGACTGATTGATAATCAGATAAACTTGAATGTCGATAATGGAATGAAAAAAATTCGAAATCTAAAAATATTCGATTTCATTTTTTTTATTCGATTTCTGTTTTTCGAGGTTTTGTTTAATGAAGTCAATACTTCATATCACAAAATCAAAGAATATTGAATTTTCTCCATGAAAAAAAAAGTCGGACTACTTTTTATGTGACGATTTTCAATCATTATTGAATTGGCTAGAAGAAGATCGAAAATAAAGCATAGATTAGCAGCGGTTTTCGCAGGGAATGCCACAAACTTGCTTTTTTCAACATTCTCTTAGGAATCAATAATGGAAATAGTTCAACCTTCCAAAAATATATTTTTTTGGCATGAAATCGGTTTTTGGTGAAGTTCTGAAATCCAAAAAATTCGTTACAATTCGGGAAAAATTATTCTTAGAATGGAAAATGGATCATTATAGAATTATTTATATGAAAAACGTCGCAGTCTCTGAAAATGGCGATATTTCAATCATTTCATTAGTCTACTGGTAAAAATAAATTTAAATTTCATGGACAATTCCGTAGTAATTTTCAGGACAGAGGCATTTAATTCAGTTTGAGAGGGAAAAATCATGAAAATTGAAATTCTACTAAAAATTAAACGGTATTCAATATTTCTTAACAGCGTGAATTTAGGTCAGAGGAAACTACAATGATTCAATTTCCTTAATGTTGAGTTGACCAAAATTTTCTTCAAATAACGTTGATTAGAATCAATAGCCAGAATTATCAGATTATCTGACATTTTTTATGTTAAGTATAGGAGAATCTGAATGCAACATAGTGAACGTGATGATCTATTTTTTTAATTTGAACGAATAATAATAATATCTAAATTAAAAAATTCTACTATGAATAAAAACCTATGACTCAATATTCCATAACAGCAGAGAACAAAAATGATGATATTTACGTAATATTATCTGAACCATTAACATGAATTTTAAATTCATGAGAAAGGATAGAGAAGTCAAATTGTCATTTTAAGTTTCAATTTTTTATTCGGTGCTAAAAACATGAGGTGACGATATTCTAAGCACGAAATTGTATTGATAATATAAACAGCAGATTAATTGAACTACCGAGTGAACTGAATTAAAAAAATTATAGCAGTGTTGGCACGCACCTTCACCAGAGTATCACCAAACATTGAATTCCAGCACTTTACTCTCTGAATTATGTTTAAGAAGAAATTTGATTGTAATTGTGATCAAAATCTCATTCAATGAGCATAGGAATTACCACATGCGCAAATCATTCATTGCAATATGAAAATTTCACAGCTAATGAATAAATTTCACAGCTAAAAATGAATCGAAATAATAAATATTGAATTTGATACGGAAAAAAGGGTATAATGGAAGGGCCACCTATATGACGGCTGCAATTGCGTTTGAAATGTGAAAAGGTTGCCTGAAATAATAATGCAAATCCGAAACTATTGACACTAGGAATATGAAAATTTTAGGGTAGGTGTCCTATTCCCGATGTTAGCACTCATTAAGAGATCATTTTCAGAAATTAATTAATTCATTAATGAATATATATTTCAGCTTCTTTATAACATTCATCTCTGAAAAGGTGAATAGAGGATGATTTGTAGAAACTTCAAGGAAGTTTGCAAGTTCCCTCAAAAATGAGAGAATCGTCGGCTTTTTCATTCGAATGTAGGATAATTTGGAAGTTTTTCAAAGAATTCAAGACAATTATGAGGTTTTCTAAAAAAAATTTGATAAAGTTCTCAAATGTTCTAGAATTTTTGGCTAAACAATGGGAAAAAAATGAATAGAAAGGGCGGAATTTCCTGAACAAAACTGATGTGAAGGAGTCACGTGACTCACTACTGCACTCTGATAATTGAAATGAGAAAGGAGAATCAATGAGAAATTGAGAATTGAGAAATACCTCGGATTTTTACAACAATTGCACAAAAATTCTCAAAAAAAGTACTACTCAGGCAGACTTTCACAATAGAGGGTTAAACAATTGATTAACCGAGACGCATTGTTACCATTAATCTTCACATATGAAAAAATTCAGTTGAAAATCCTAGCGCATTCGCTAGACAATTCTATTGGATTTCTATTGAACTTTTTATTAGCTTCTGGCCATTTCTATTGAAATGTTCAATAGAAAATATTCTATTGAAAAACTCAATAGTAAATATTCTATTAAAAAACTCAATAGAAATATATTTTTCTAGACAACTTATTCTATTGAGATATTTTCTATGAAATTTCCTCGGCTAAAATTTTCCAAGTTTTTTTCACTCTATTTTTTCTTTTCTTTTCATCAAGAAAATTAAACAAAAAAAACTTAGAGAATGTGAGCCAAGGAAATTCCACAGAAAATATCTCTATAGAATAAGCTGTATAGAAAAATAGAATTCTATTGATTTTTTTTATATAATATGTTCTACTGAACATTTCGATGGAAACGTAGAAATACCATAGAATTGTCTAGCGAATCTGCTAGGAATTTCTATGAATTTTTTTCGTGCGTGTTAACACTCAGCATAATGGAACGATGATGAATCATTAATTGTTCAAAGGGACAATAAAAAAAAGGCATAATAAAAGAGCATCAACGTTGCGGCCGCTTGCCGCCGCCGCGGTGGTAGTGCCTAAAAACTAATAATTAATGCAAAAAAATTAATTGTTTATTGTTCGTTTGCTCCGCAGACGCTGAGGGTTGAAAATAGTTCAGGGCTTCCAATTTTTGAGCTACAGATTTTGTTTCTTCAAAATAAAAATAAAAATCTGTGAACTAACAATTACGAATTAGTTTTTTGAAATTCCTTTCCTCCACAACTAATTTCGTTTTTTTTTTAAATAAAAAATTGCATCAATCATGTAAAATGTTAGAGAAAGAATCGAGAATATATTTTACATATTTCAATGATAATTTTTCTGTCTATTTTACATGAATGGCGCAAATTTTTATGTTAAACAGAACCGAAATTATCTGTGTAGGAGTCGAATTTAAAAAAACTAATTCGTAATTGTTATTGTACACATTGTTTGAAAAATTTTGAAAAAAACCCTCTGTAGCTCAAAAATTGGAGGCCCTGGACTATTTTTAACATCTTCAGCACTTGCGATGCAAAAAAACAATAAACAGGTTTTTTTACGCAAATTATTCAGTTTTAGACATAAACTTCGATGCATGAAAAATCTAAATCCAATAGCCCGCGACGTTTAAAACTCATAGTCGTCTCCCCTTAATCATATCCAAGCAGTTTCATTTTTGCGATGTAGCCTCGGAAAGAATTTATTTCTGTTTACTTTTGTAGAATTTTTTATAATTCAAGAAATCGATGTTATCGGCGGAGCAACTCTGGAAAATTACAAAAAAATCGCATCATGTAGATGTCAGACCATGCAGTTTCATTTCCAGTCCTTCGTTCCATTCGTTGTTCTCGTTGCTGATGCCGGCATAGTCATCCTGCTGACGTTAGCTAAAAAGCCATACAATCGCCGATTTTTTCTCGAAAAGAAAGAAACCAAGAGTTAATCACGAGTTCAGATCAACAATCGTAGTCTTCACCAAGATAATTTGTTGGATAGAAAACTCAAAATGGCTCTAGTACCTCTAGAATCCAATCCTGAGGTAAAATTGATTCATCTTACAATTTGCTTACATTTTACTTCGACGTTAGGGAAATTATGAGTCATCAGTTGCCTTTCTGTTTCAGGTCATGACCAAGGTTAAGACGAAAAAGAACGCATTTCATCTAATTTCTTATGAGTATTTATTTCAATCGTTTTGAGGTTTCATTTATAATTGTTTTCAGTTCATTCATCAACTTGGGGTACCAGAGAAATTCTCTTTGGTGGATGTTTATGGATTGGATCCTGATTTGCTTGCTATGGTCCCCAGACCAGTGCTTGCACTGATTCTATTGTATCCAGACAGTGAAAAGGTAATTCGAATATTTTTTCATTGAAGTGAGTAAACATTTGGCTAGGGGAGGTTGGGGTAAAACGGACATTTTTGACTTTTTTTCAAATGTTAATGAGTGGTTGAAATGTTGATGAAATTTAATTTTTTTTTTCCAATACAAAGAACAATTCTTTCCCTTTGTGACAAGCCTAAACTGAGCTCAATTGATAAATTTATTTCTGAGTTATGAATAATTTAAAAAAGGTCTAAAGTGTCCATTTTACCCCACCCTCCCCTAACTAAGTAATTATTTCGATAATGAACGATTTCATGGGAATCTATCAAATGACTTTATCCTTTATCATAGAAAATTATTAAATGACATTTTCATTTTTCAGTTGATTATAACAAGTCTTGTTTGGGCCAACAAAATCTTTAGTTGAAAATTATCAAAAAATAATTGTTTGGTTCGAATTTGAAAGTCTCAATCATAAATAACTGCTCTGCTCTCCACAACAACGAAATATTTGGCTCAAGAGGCGGATCATTCATAAAAAACGGGGCATTTTCAGGATAAAAGTATCTTTAATAGAGGGAAGTTTATTAAGAAATATTTTGTCCGCAAGTTACAAGATTGCTGTCATATCATTATTATTATTTCATTTAAAAATTCGTTTTTTGTCTGTGATTATCGAATAGCCGAAATGACAAACTGCTATCCCTTGTTTCATATAAAACGCACATTTGCTGGTAGTAAAATACGTATGGGAGCATCGAATAACGAACAAGTAATACTAAAAATTACACTTATTGCTTGCACAGAGAATAAATTTTTTTTGAAAAGACTAAATCTGAGTTATGAGGCTTTCGCGGTCAACATTATTATTTATTATGACTTCCGCATGGATGCCGCGTCTAGATTCAGTATCGGAGCGACCTTAGCCTTGATGATGCAGACTGAATTGTTCGAGAACTCTACTGTTTTTTTTCTCAGTATACTGAACGAGTTTTTCAACATTTTATGGTCAAATGTTCCAATTAAGACTTATAATGCCTATTTGAAGAATTTTCAACATTTCTGTGGGTTGATTCTATTCTAATTTATTATTATTATCAATTGAAGTGGTAGATTGAAATAAAAAATTTAAGAGGAATTTATCATGAAACCTTTCTTATACAAAATGAAACGGTCAACTGTGAAAGAACTTTTACAAGACATATTTTAAAACTGGTATGTTGTGACTGTTGTGAAGAATTTCAAGAGTCCTTTTTTTGCTCCATGAAATTTTCTGCAAAAAAAGTTTTTTGATCATTTTTTCCGCCTTTATTTCATTCTCGAATATTTCATGTTTCTTTCAAAATTTCATTATATTTTTTTATCACTCCATCGTTGAACTGATTTTATGAAAGCTTAACAAACAACGTATTGTTGTAAAATTGTCTCCCTTTTCAAAAAGATGGTCATCTTCCAAAAATATTATTTATTGAGATATAGTACATTTCGGAACTGCTGCTTAAGGAAATTTTCTGACGAATATGAGTCTTCAGCTCGTTCTGAAATCATATAAGGCAGAGAAGTTCTTCACGGCCGGGTATTAAATAGTACATTACATGCCCGAGCCTTGGAAAACATATCACCCTCCCCCACGTGCTTGCCATCCTCGCCTTCGGCTCGGAAGGCAATCTTGCACCTGGGGGAGGGTGATATGTTTTCCATGGCGAGGTGTACATACCGTGGCGCAGCGCCACGAAAATGGGGTTTTTCAGGTCCCGTGACACGAAAAAATATTTTTTGTTATGACATCCATGAATGGTGTTTACGGATACTCATATGCGAAAAAATTTCTTATGAAAAACTTGGCCCAGTCACAAAAAAATCCCATTGGATTTCTATATTGGACTTCTATTGAAAAAAAAAATTAGTTTATCGCCAGGTCTATTGAAAAATTCCAAAGAAACATTAAAATATTGAATCGGGAGATATTCTATAGTAAAAATCAGCACAATTTGATTTGTGTGCAGTTTATTATAATAGAAGATAAAAAAATCGAAATTCCTGAGTCTCAATTTTTTAAGTTTTTGCTTCCGAATGGAAGTATTGTATTCGACGAATTTTGACATTCTCTAGTTGTGCCTGGAAATGATGTAGAATGTTTTGAAACATGAAGAAATGTCTGGGTTTGATAGTTCGGTTTTTGGGTTATCACTTTTTAGACAATACAAGCAGAGGTTCGAGCTTATCCGACAGGAGACATGTGACCGTTTCTTTTTCTTTTGTTTTACTTCTACCAATTTCATTGGTATAGTTAGTTTCCGAATAGATCTGTAGCAATTCCCTATCCTTGTGACAGGCATACAACCGTAACCACATGCTACAGCGTGTCGAAAGGAAGGTATTCAACCTTTTAGTGAAATAGATTAATACAAAAAGTTAAATATCATGGAAACTGCTTGGCCATTTACGCCTATCCAAAACACCAACCTTCAGTATTGTAAGAGCTATAATTGTACCAAATTTGAACTTGCTACTTTCATTTTTTCTCAAAATATGTGTACAAGAATAAAAAATCCGAAAAACGAAAAAACGGGAATATCTCGGAAACTTTGTATGAACGGATATATATATATTTTGATTTATCTATATGAGGTATTCCATGTCAAATGAGTCAATCGCTGATCTTCACCCTCTTGGAAATTAATGGCGATTTTTTCTACGATCGGGGAGGTTCAAAAACTATCTCAAATTTTTTCAGATTTTTTCGGCAGCCCAGTTCCGAGATGTGATTTTTTCACATTTTTCCGTTTTTTCCAATAACTCGAGTTCTATTTGTCCGATTTTAATTTATTAGGCGTCAAAATTTTCCATTTTTTGCCGCCTATACAATTATTTTTGGTAATTTTTTTCCCATTCCTAGATGCTCATAATAACGAATTTTAGAAAAAAAAAGTTAAAAAACTTGAATTTTGCAAATTATGTCACGGTTGATACTCAAAATTTTTTTTTCAGTAGTTCTCATAATCAAAATAAGTATTTTGAGCTGTCATTCAAATTGGGCATCCTCCTGGATCTATGTTATTTTTAATTTTTTCGTTTGGACATTTCGCAAATTTGGTCAAAACACCACAAAACGACTTTGACTATGTATCGAAAAAATATGTAATATATAGGTATACAATCAAATTCACTTAATACGGTCTATAATCAAAGTCAATCAACGCCATTTTGAGGTGTTGCGACCAAATTGACGGAATTTCGAAACGAAAAAATTGAAAATATAATAGATCCAGGACGATGCCCAACTTGTACGATGACTCAAAATACTTCTTTTGAGTATAAGAATTACTGAAAAAAAATGAAACAAATCATCCGTGACGTAATTTGCAAAATTCAAGTTTTACAACTTTTTTAATCGAAAAGTCGTTATTATGGCAGTAAAAAATGAAAAATTTTGACGCTTAAATCAAATTCGGATGGATAGAACTCGAGTTATTGAAAAAAACAGGAAAGACGAAACAAAAATCATATCTCCGAATTGGGCTGCCGAAAAAATCTGAAAAAATTTGAGATATAGTTTTTCAACCTCCCCAATCGTAGAAATAATCGCCATCAATTTCCAAGAGGGTGAGGGTCAGCGATTGAGTCATTTTGCGTGGAATACCTCATAGAAGCAGCCGAGACGAATATTTTGAAAAAAAAAATTGAAATCTGTTAAGTAGTTCATGAGATATTTGAAGAAATATATTTACACAAAAGGTCGCATATCTCAAAATACCAAGTTTTAATATTTTAAGAGCTAGAACCATATCAAATTTCAACTTGCTATCTCTTTTTTTCTCAAGTTGTCGTGCGTACGACATTTTTCATGAAAAACGGAAAAACGACGTCTGTGGTCGCGCGCTTAGCGCCGCACCGTACGTGGTTTCGGCGATAGAGCGTTACTGCCGACCGCAGTATTTTTTTTCAATCGGGTCCTCGTACGTCAAAACACTCGTTCGCGTTCAACCGTTTATGATGTTTGTGCGTTAAAATTCGCGGATATTTTTTTTCAGTTCTATTCGAACTCTTCACATAACCAATAATACATTTCATACGTTATTTTGAATTTTCCACTAAGTTGACACTGTAATCAATCAAAATCAGCGGTAAGCGGAAAAAAATAGACCAGGAAAAAATAGCCCACACACCCAAAACTTACTAATACCCACCCAACTTAAAAATTTACCTTGGGCGAGTTTGATGAAAAATGTCGAAAAATCGAGCCGGGCACTCTTACCGACTAAGCTGCTGGGAACCACAGAAATGAAATCTCAAATTCACCTCATACACCGCCTAACCTCCTTTAGGCATTAAAGAATTCTAAGAGAATTAGAATTTAGAGAGAAAAAATTTCCGCTTCACCCAGCCGGGAATCGAATTCGGGTCTCCCAGATATGCGCCGGGCACTCTTACTGACTAAGCTACCGGGAACTTTCTTAACAGGGGAATACTCTTCAATCGGATTTAAGCGTTTGAATATTTAAAGCTGTGTCGGGGCGGTGTGATAAGACCCCTAGAAATAATGGTCTTGAAGTTTGCTGACAAACAACTTCAACAGAGCATATCTCATCAGGAAATGAGGTAATTTGAAAATTTCCAATTTCATTTTGTAGATTAAGAAAAATTTTACTCGTGATAGCTTTCGAATGTACAGACATGATTCTTTTAAGCACTGTTATCAACGAATAACACAGGGAAAATTATTGACGTGGCATATCTCGCTACGGGATGAACGCATATGAAAAAAAAATCCTGTCACAGTTTAAATTCGACACGATCTCGCCGTGATGTTTACTATTTTTTTTAAAATCCATTCATTAAATTTTTAATCCGCTGTTTTACACGAAATCTTTGTCAAACTCTCCCAGACGTTTGAGTCATTTAATTGAAAAAACAAAAAAATTCATGTTTTAAAAAAATGAAAAGCTAGACGTGATGATTTGATTTTTTCATGAAAAATGCTTGGTTAGTGATATATGCTCTGTTTTTAATTGAAAGAAATA